GGAAGAGCGAGATGGGCAGCGTGACATACGACGAGGAGGCAGCCATGAACACCTACCTTGCCATCAATGCCCTGCTCGTAGCCGAGCTCCCACGGTTCAACCAGGTGGCTCTGCAGCTCTTGGGGCAGATACTGTGCTCCCTCAGCGCCCTGCAACATGAGTTGGCTGCCCAGGTCCTGCACCAGGCAGAAAAGGAGCTAGAGCAGGTGAGAGTGACCCCTTGGCATGTGTGCCCAAACCAGCGCACATGCTGAGCCAGACCTGCCTTCTTCAGGCTTGGGACATCACTTGGATGTCAGGGCGCTGAAGGTTTGCTGTAGCCCGAGCCTGCCCTTGCAGGCACACAGCTCCCTCTGTAGCATTTGTAAGTGATCTCTCCTCCCCTTTGGCTGGGGAAAGCCACATTGTCTCTTCTTCGCTGCCAGGAACTGTCCTGCTCTCTCTTTGAGGACACCACTGGTAATTTATTGATGTGCTGCCTGAGGGATCAGTGTTAACACTGAGCTCCCAAGAGCTCTGTGCTGGGAAGGCAAGGAGAAGGACAGCTCCTGGCCTGAGGAATGAGCATCCCTCGAACCTCCATCCCTTGGGAGACATCTCCCAGGACTCCTCACTGCACAGCGCGCTCTGAGCCTGATGTTTGCAAACGTGGTGGGTCAGGCCAGTCCAGAGCCCGGGGGCAGAGCATGGCCCTGGCCTGATGCATGACCAAGACGAGAACAAGATGCAGCCACATCGTACGTACCTCGTCGTGAGGGCGGATTCCCCTTGCTCAGTCTGGGATGCTTGCGCTGCAGACATCTACCCCAGAGCTACATCCACCTGTCTCCCTTTTTAGTCGGGTGGGACGGACTGTGGGCTTGGGGCAGGACAGCAGGACCCAGGGACTCCTGCGGTGGGCTGGGTGCAGCCCAAGAGCTCTGCGTGTGACTTCCCTGCCCAGGGCAGGTGGCTCGAAGCCGGAGAGCAGCAGCTCTCCTTGCCAAAGGGAATCACATCCTAGATGCAAGGTGCATCTTTAGTGGCAAGGTCTGTTCTCATGCTTTCTCACCTTTTTTCTTCCTGCTCCTTCTCTTTTGACCCAACCGACAGCTCTTCCCCTCCCCAGGGCCCTCTCTGATCTCAGGGTCTGTCTTCACAGATGCCCCATGGCCGTGTGCCTCTGCCCAGTTTCTGGAAGATGGTGGAAGACACCTTGCAGCAGTCTGGTGCTCAGCTGCGTAGCTTCTGCCAGACGTTTGAGATGGTCACACCGAGCCCTGTAACACAGGTAGGAGCTGGGAGGGGGGTGACTCAGGCCAGCTGGATGAAGAGGGAGGACTGTGGCTTCCCAGTGCAGAACATCTCCTTGGGGGGCAGGTTGGCTCAGAAAATGGCACAGGGGGTTGCCACAACCACAGTATTTTCCCCAAGCCCCCGACAGCAACTGGCTGAGAATAACCAGGGGTGAAGCAGTCTCAGCAATTCTGGTTCTGGACACTCATCTCCGAACCATGAGGTAGAGCAGATAGTGTGAAGGAATTTCTCCTCTAATCTCTCACTGGGATGTGATCCTGCAGAAAGGAGAGCACATGTACATGGAGGGCCTCAGCCTCCTGCCTGTCTCACCAAGTGCTCCTGTGTCTCTTGCTCCCCACCAGCCTCTGAACCCTGCGGAGGAGCGGAAGGTCCTCTCCCTTGTGAGCAAGCACGGCCCAGACAAACTTTACCAAGTGACAAGCAACATCAGTGGCAGCAAAGACTTGGACCTGACCTTGCAAAAGGGACAGATTGTAGCTCTGCTGCAAAGTGTGGACACTAAGGGGAACACGAACAGATGGCTGGTGGATGCTGGAGGTACTGTCAGCACTACGGGGAGCCTCTCCCTGCCTCGGCACCAGGGTCAGAAACCAAACCCGAACCGCTTCCTCATCTTGGATGAAACAGCGGGCCATTGCTTCCCGGGTCCTCCCTTCCAGGGTTTGCTCAGCCCAAACCCGCCTCTGCTTTGCCAGCTGCACCCGTAGCCATTAGCTGTAAAGTTCAGGTTTCCCCATGAGGGAGCACTCGTGGCTCATCATGGCTGGGAAAGGAGAATCCCATGCACACAGAAACGTCTTGAAACCCCTTTTTGCGGGGTTTTGCTGCTGGATATCCCCTAGTGATGGACCAGTTTGAACAGGGATGCTGTGCCCTGCCAGGCAACAGCCAAGTTGTCATTCCTCTCTCCTCCAACCAGTCCTGCATGTGCCAGGCAGCGGGGCCCCATGACCTGTGTGTGTGCGTGTCCTCCAGGTCCCCGAGGGTTTGTGCCTGCTGGAAAACTCCAGCCCTATTGCCCGGTACAAAGCCAGCAGCCTGGGATGCAGATGCCAGCCCTGGAGAGCAGCACAGAGAGAAGACGACATTCGTGTGTGTCACCTGAAGCTCCCGGGCCCCAGGTGGCCACCTTCACCCCAGCTTTCCAGGTGAGAGTGGGGGACACCCCCCAGGGCCACTCCTAGCAACCCCACCAGCTCCATGCTAGTCCCTGTGTGTGCAGCATGTGGGTGGGAAGGTGGACCTGCTTTTCCAGCACACACGTGGTCATACGTGTGCAGCCATGGGCCTAGCAGGGGAGTGTCACAGCCCCTGGCCCAGTGCCCCAGGAGGCCATTGTCTCCCTTGCTGGGACCTGGGGTGGACAGAGCAGGAGAACCGTGCTTGGTGGAGTCCCCAGTGTCCCTCCATCAATGGCAGTACTGTGCTGCCCTCTTGGAAACAACCTCCATGTCCTCTCTAGGTCCTGCCCTCCCATGTATGTCCTTTCCCCCTCTGACTCGTGTCCAGCAAGGGCTTCCTCCCTCCTTCCCTTGCCTTTCGCAGGTGGTCGCTGGCTTCTCCTTCGCAGCCAGGAGTCCGCAGGAGGTGAACCTCCAGGCAGGGCAGCCCGTGGTGGTGCTGGAGCCGCACGACAAGAAGGGGAGCAAGGAGTGGAGCCTGGTGGATGTGAATGGCCAGAGGGGCTATGTGCCCTCCAGCTACCTGGTGACCGTCCCTGTGCAGAAGCCCATGGGCTGGAGCTTGCCCGTGTGAGCATGGCCAGCCTGGCACCCAAGGGCATAGGCTTCATCAGATGAGAGTTGTCCGCTTGGCACCCAAGCCAATCATTGCGGGAGATGCTGGAGGGGGGCAGTCGTGGTGGCCCCGGGCCGGGGAGGCGGTGGGAAGCAGCTGGCAGAATATGGTCCGGGGGATGTGGGTGCGAGGAACAGCAGTCGGGAGGCACGTTTTGATGCATAAGTGTGAGGGTGCTATGTCCCATACGCGTTTGCACAAAAGGAGCATGAGGGGGTGAGGGCAGGTGGCTGCAGTTTTCCAGGGATTTGCTGAAATCCATGTCAGTGACAAAGTGTCCCTAGAGGTGACGAGAAGCATTGTCCCCAATTAGATCAGGACCAAGCTGCAAAGGGTGCAATGCTGCAGAGGGGGTCTTCGGCCTGGCACGGAGCATCTGGGGCTCTTGGGAAGAGGCTCTCGGGGAAATCGCTGGTTTGAGTGCAGAGACTGAGGTGGAGCAGCCCCAGCAACGCGGCTCCCCGCTCCTCACCGGGGTGTGACACCTGCCTGGGTGCCCACCCCGATGTGCCATTGTGGTCCCTTGGGCAGCGCAGCCTCCGCACCCTGCTAAGGGCACGCCAACACCAGCCTGCGCCTGGCCGCAGCGTCAGCGATGGGAGGGTGCTGGGCCGAGTGCCGTGGCTGGGGTCCTCCCCAGCCCTCCTGGCCACCGAGCACTGCCGCTGGCCACGGAGCACCGCTCCTGGCCTCAGTTTCCCCCCGCAGCACAGCGGGGCTGCTGCTGCTGCCCGAGCCCTTTGAAAGGCACTTTGAGCTCTGCGATGAGAAGCGCTCTGTGCGCCCCCGATGCGCTGACACTTAATGCGTGGCGCTGCCCCTCTGCCCCTCCGCGCCGACGGGCCCTGCCCCACGCGTGGGGCCGCGGGCGATGCGGCCGGCAGATG